TTTTAAAAATCTTGTTTGCTATATATATTTATTATTATCAGAGTGAACTTTAGTTGCAACATCTAAAGTTATAACATTTACTTTATTAGAATGTAAGAAAGATAATCAAAATTCAATTCTTAATGCATACAAATTAGCAATGCAAATAATGCACCCCTTGCGCTGATAACTGGGCAATCAATTCGCTTACATATTGTTTTATGACTCAAAGAAATTTGCATTTTATGGCCCAAACAGAGCCAACACCCACAACATCGCATTGCACATACACAAATTGATGCCCGTTCACCCGAACTCCGTCCTACATCTGGGCTATAGCCTGCCCAGCATGCATATCGAATGAAGCTATAAAATGTTTAATTGCCAGCTAAAGCGCTGTGTGTGGCTGCTCGGCCAACCCGGGCATAAAGATAAATATGCATACATGAGTTTCTGGCCAGCTGCTGGAGCTATACAAATTGGATGCATGCCGGCACATCGAGCAGCAATAAAATTGTAATTTCCATTTCTAATATACATATACATATTTATGTAAGCTCAGCTGGTTGGAATTGAGTTACTAAAGAGCTGTTAAAGGTACAGACAATGCAACAGATTGTTTTCATATTTCTCGTTTCACATCTCTTTCACAATGCCGAAGTGAACAAAAAGCCTAATTGAAGGCAATTTAAATTGATTAACCTAAACGTAAACCCACCACATCAGACAAAAACTTGTCCTAGGTTGGGCTACGATTTCATTTTCGAGTGTTGACTGCTAACTGCTAACTGCGGAGGTGTAGCCGCTGAAGTTTTTAGCTGCTCTTTCAATTGGCATTGTCTAAAAGGAAAAAAAAAACAACTAAAATAGTCGTGTAGGTCGCTTGTCATATGGTTGGCAATATCTTGAATATGGTAGCGTGTTTTGAGGTGTTTATGGTTTAATTAAGCATGATGAAAAAATGAAAGGCACTCATGTCGAACAATGCCACAGAAGCATTGTCAAAACAGAAGACTTAAGAAACAAACTTGACTCGAATCGTACGGAACAGTTAATTAGGAACACGGCGGTAATTAAGTCGATTTAAGACTGAAACAACTCATGTGCACAGAAAATCGCAGCCCAAATAAAAAGCCTTGAAGCTAGCCTAGAAATACTTCGATTCCTGATGTCATCCGTTACGCGACTTCGCAGCTTTTCCATGAAACAATTTATATTTGTATCCTGTCTGCCGCAAAAAATTAATGCGAGAGAATCCAACCCAAAAGCCACATTAAAGTTTTATTTTTATTTTTTCATATTTCCCAATTCAAATGCAAACAAATTGCAAATGGCTTGACGTCTGCCAAAGTTCATTGGAATTTGTTTTCTATGCAAAACGCAGCTAGCTCTTGATTTATAAAGAATTTTTTTGTATCGTATGATAATTTCTGTATTTTCGGGTTTTTTGCTTTTGAGCATTTGAAATAGCAATGTGCAGGCCATAAAAGGCAAAGCTAATAATTATGACTTTGAAACGTTTGAATATGTCGGTTTTGTGTTTTATGTTCACTTTTTTCATCCTTAGCTTTGTTATTTTTTTTCGTATTTTACGCTAATTTCAAAAGCATTGGCAAACAATGCAAAAATATTTTGTCAGATACCCGAATTAAATTCACTGCAAATGCAAATGCTATGCTTGGGTGTGGTGTCAAAAACACCATTAAATTATTGATTAAACGAAAAAAAAAACGGTTGTAGATTTTGGGCAACGTTTACATTAGACCTTTTTGGGCTCTCAATCCCGAGAGGGGCGCTATTAAATGAAGTGACAGGCATATGAAACTGTCGCCGATTATAAAAAAATGAGATTATTCAATGTGCGACTCGGAGATTCTACGTCATTGTTTTTAGATTATATTCTGTCAAAAAGTGTAGGACAGCTTCTGCTAATGCCATAGTTTTGAAGGACTCATTTCTACCCAATAATAAATACCTAAAGACATGTAAATGATTAAAAAGTCACGAATTGAGCATCAGGCAAACCAATTTGTAATGACAACTATTTCATAGCAGGTGCCGATAAAGAAAAAGAGACTTTCGACTTGAAGAGAAGTTTAAAATGTGATTTAACATCTGTCTTTATTGAATATGGGAGCAGTTTTTAATAAGTATAAAGTAAACAAAAATAAAATAAACTCTAGTAGCGACTGCAAAATACTCTGTAATAATATTAGCAGAGACTATGCGGTAAACAAAAGCAGCGTCTTCTTTGACTAATGTAGTTAACCTTAATATTTATAAATTATTAATATATCTTTTCCAGTAACTTATTGCATACCTTTTGAATATATTTTGAAAGAAATATACATAGGCTTGGCGATTGGAACAACCCAAAGACTGCCACGTGTTGCTCAAAAACTTTGACACAGCTTGACAAAAAGTGCTTTTTGTGATTGCAGTGTTGAAATGCGCTTAATGTCAGCAACAACCCGTCCGACAGACTGACAGATAGACAGACAGACAGTTCTGGGCATGACATTCAAGCAGCTGATAAATTGGCAAAAAAGGCGCGTGGCAATAAAAATTATCGTAGGCTATGACGCGGCACAAGGTAATGCAATATGGTTGGTGCTAGAATTCCGCACCCAGTTTTTTTTTCTTTTTTCGTGATATCTTTAGAGGTGACAATTGGGGCCAACACCTTTTGCCAATGGTAATTTGCGCTAATGTACGCCACAAAGTTCTTTATGTGACACTGGCTGAGCTCTAGGCCATTGCTTGGGCATTTGATGCAGCCATAAATATGAGGGTTAGCTGGATATTCGCAGAGATATAGGCGATATGCTTGTCAATCAACAAGTTGAGGCGCAAGCCATTTAAAATCTGATTTTGACTAATTTAATATACAAACGGCAGCCCACGATTATTAGCTACCCTCTTAAATATTAACATATTTTATAAATATACGTTTATGTATACGTTTATATATCTTCTAAAAGAACAAATCAGCAAAAAAAAGGGAACAACTACAACTATCTACATATGGCAAATGGATGACTAATGGCCAGCGTCTGGGCAAATTGTGAACTCATGCACACACTAGAATCATTGAACTTTAATTGTAAGAAAAAAGATTTTAATTTTATTTCTTATGATTCATGGCGACTGAGCAAATGTATATGTACGATCAAGTTTGTTGCCTAAGTCTTTTGTTTTAGTGTAGGACAAAACGAAATAAGAAATGCTGAAAATTACAATTCATGGTCTTAGGAGTAAGGGCCTGAGAAAAATCTTAAGTTAATGAACGTCGGGTGGGTGAGAAAGACAAATGTAAATGTGGTGTAATATTTAGCTGCCGGAAGTAATGAGTATACGTATGTGGACGCTTTAACCCGCTTAGAGGATATACGCAATTAGCAAATGGCAGATTATGTTTAAGAGTATAATTTGCTTACAAGTTTACGACCTCTAAATAATTCTTTGTGGCTGTACATTTTTCTTTAAGAGAAAATGTAACTTATAGCAATAATTATGAGAAGCAGGTAATAACTACAATACTAAATAACTAAAGAAATGAATTTTTTCTTGTGATAATAAATTAAAAACAAAGAACAATGGTTGTAAATTGAAAGAATTGCGGACAGGCAAGCCGATGGCTTTTTGTGTCAGTCAACTTTCTTGTAAAGGTTGTAAAATTTTAGAAAATTTTACCATTACAGTTAAGTTAAATTCAAATTTATAAATGTAGCTATCTTATAAATTTGTATATCCATGTCACAATGCATCTATTACAAAGAGCCATAATCCCTGATTGAGTGCTTCTAACGCTTTAACTGCAATTATAGCACATAAATTTGGCAAACAGCTTTGTTATTTATTATACGTTCATATTTAATCGCGCATAAATATTAAAAAAAAAAGAGCGAAAAAATTGATTGCCATTTGTGCTGGCAATGGACAAAACGGTAAATATATAAATCAAAAGACGAATTGCACGTACCTGCCGCGATAGTCAGACGTTGATAGCGCTTTTTAGCATGTGCCTTACATTCAGCCGAAGTCCACTGAAGGCGTTTTAGGCTTATGCTTAAAGTGTTGTATTTGTTGTTGTTGTTGCTTTTGTTTCGGCTCAAACTCTGTTGAGCTGCAAAGAGCGGCCAACAACAAACCCAAATGCACTGGCGATTGGCATCAATGTCGCTTGGCCGCTTTTTAAGCTGCAATTTTTTTCTGTTTTATATTTTATTTTCTGATTACGTTTTTTTTTAAGACACACACGCACACAAACACACATGCAGGCAACTCAAAACGCGTGGTTTCAACGTTTTTTCTCTTGTTTGTATAGAAAAAACGCGTAGTCAGCAAAGCATTGGCATAAAAATGATTGAAAAATATATATTTTATGTATAAAAAATTAATTTTCAATGATTTTTATGCCATAGCAAGTGGGCGAGCAGCTAAAGAAACTGAAAAAGTATTAACAGCTGTTCGTGGGCTATGCAAGGCAATAACAGACAAACTTCTGAGCGTTGCACTTGAAAAACTATGCAAAAGTAAGCCTTTCCCTTTTTTTGTGTTTTGCTAGGCCAACCTGTCGCGTTTCGTCTTTCACTTTCTTTACAATTGTTTTTTAACGGAATTTAACTTTTGCTGCTTAGTCTTTGTGACTATGTATATATAAAAAAAGGAAAAACGCGGCGTTTTAAATACGCTTGTTTTGCGTTTCACACTCAACGCTTGGCTACACTTCAATTCACGTAGAGTTCAACTAGGGTACTGGGATTTTGCCGCAGACTGACATCAGCCAGTGCCAAAGAGGTTTACGTAGTCACAACTGCAAGTTTTTTGTTGAATTGTTTAATGTTTATTTTTGCTTTGTATATTTTGCATTGTTTTCTTTATATTATTTATTACTTTTTGTTTTTGAAGTGTTCTTGTTTTTTTCGCACTAGTTCAACGCCTGCGCTAAATGTGCTTTTATTGTATGTATATTTAATGTTTGGAACTCGAACTCGTTTTGTTTTTAGCTTGTCAAGTACTTTGTGTATCTTGTGCTCAACCGAACCGTCTGTCTCGCACGCCAACGCTATACTAAAAGAGTTTTTAGCTTGGCCCGCGCGTTAAATAAGCCGCCGTCTGACAGCTGGCCCGACTGCCTGCCTTCCTGCCTGCCCCAGCTAACTTGGCCCGTAGCTGTGTCTCAGTCTGGCTGCCTAGCCAATGGATGATGTCAGCTTTTCTGCCAGAGAACGAGTGTATTTCAAAGAGCAGCGAGTGCTGGCTAAAGAGCGAATTTAGCTCTCTTTACTATTTGCTTGAATTAGTATCTACTTGTATTGATCTGCACCCACTTTAAGTAGTTACTCTGTGTTGCATATGACAGCAGATAACTAATTGGTTATTACAATTTTTATATATAGGTATGTGCAAAAGTAACCAAAGCATTGTAATAAAAGTTGATTTATTGTTGGCATCCCTAAAAAGGAGCTGCACATTTAAGCTGCGTAGTTCAAAGTAATTCCTATGAAGTCATGAATTCTTTACGAAAACTATATTGAAAGCCTATCCTCTAGAAAAGGGAGCTTTTGAAGAATATATTCTTTGATATATTCTTTGCCTGTTTTTTATTGCTTATCTTATTATTATTTGCTATATTGTTGGCATTAAGCTTATATAATTTATAACACAGGCAATTATATTACGTAAGGGAAATATTAAAAACCAGTTGTCATTTTATTTAAATGCATTTCAATATCCTAATTATTTATTTCAATTATTATTATATTGTAAAAGAGTATCCAGGTATAGAGTACTAACAGTTATCACAATCGGCCCCTCATATATTATTATTTAAATTATTTTTAAAATTATTAAATATAATGAATTATATAATTATGTATCTGTTGAGTGCTTAAAATATTTATTAAGTAATATATTTTAATTTTATTGAATATTTCATATTTAAAATGAGCTTAGCATTTATTATTAATTAAAAAAGGATTATCGACGATCAAATTTATACTTAACTGCAATTTCTTACATTTGTATAAATTCTTAGTTAAATTATTTATTTTTTATTAAAGACATATTTATAGATTAATTCTTATAGTTATATAGCTTTTTAAGTGTCTAAACGCGAAACTCGACAACCCTGTTGCTCGCTCTTAAGAGCTGTGCTCTTTACGCTCTTGGCCGGCATTTTTTGTACATGCTCAACGCTCGCACATAGAAAATAACAAACCGGCATTTGTGACCGGCGTGCTCTCGTAAGTAAATAGCGTAACGCAACGTAACGTAACGCTCAGCAAGCTTAACTTTTAAAAGATTATTTAAATTCATGTCGTATGCAATGCCATTGAACCAAAAAAATTATTGATATACTATACACATTTAGACAAGCTGCTGCTAAAATTCGGAATATCATAAAAGTTGTACTTTTTGGTAATATAATATAAAACCACAGGTGTCTGGTCTTTGTATGAGCATGTGATATTTAAAAATAAGCGTCAGCACATTTCTTAATTAATTCTTACATCTTCTGGCCATAAGTCATAATTAATGGCGCAACCATTGCCAATCGATTCCATTGACGCTACAGAATTAAGCCATTAATTAGAACAGCAGCCAACATTTGATATGCCCCAATGCTGCACGTAGGCCGTGCCCCAATGCAGTTTACAATTCGCCAAGTCTAGACTGGAGTCTTGGCTACCTACTCGTTGTAGTAGCTATGGGTACAAGCTACCCCTACCCCCCACTATAGCACTTACTCATTAACTACACGCACTGGCATAACAAAATGCATGTCAAGTTCAGGCAAGTAACGCTCGGCGCTCACCCGTGGAAGGTCTATTGCGGCGCTCGGGCGTGAAGATCGAACTGAGAACAGATACAAATGGCCCTTTTGCATTTATCTGTATCTAAAAAGCTGCAATTGCAGTTGTATTAATTGTATATATGTAGATAACTACATATATAACTACATAGATTTCTATGGTCGTTAGATTTTCAGCATGACCATCACAGACGAGGGTTGTTCAGCAGGGAATTTGGTTAAATACAGACTACCGAACTGTAACAATTAGTAAGATCCGAAATATGAAACGAGTAGTAAAAGCATATGTAACTACGTGTATTTGAGTACTTTTGAGTAGTAAATATTCTGTCAGATTCACTATATGTACCGAGAGTGATAATAATGTATGGAATTAGTACTATTCAGTTTAAATTGTAAATTTGAAAGCGTCTGGGTTAACAATCTGAGAGTATGCTTAGCTAAAAAAGCGTTGTCAGTAAGCATACGTTGTATTGAAGAGCACTTCTACGTGCTACAGGAACTTTTTAAAACTTATATTATTTTCAATCAACCCTCGCTGTTATGGTTGTTATAGCTGTTGGCCTGGCCCTGTCAATATCTATGCTTGTAGCGTGGCTTTCGCTACACGCGCCAGTTGACCCTTTGGGGCTTTGGGTTCAAAACGTGTCGCTAGCGGTGGCGGTTTCGCATTGGGGATTGCAATTGGGGATTCGTATTTGGTTACGGATTCGGTTATTGAAACAGCAGAGACCAGTCAGGCATGGCTAAAATAAAAATGTTGTCACGCCGTTTGGAAATACTCGCAATTGTATTCGGCTACAAATTTTCAACAAATCGCATTTGAAAGTTATGCGCCCCTGAGTCGATTTATAGGTACCTTTTGTGTTCCTTTTTTTTCTTCTTCTTAGTTTTGGTTGAGTGTGAGCCAACAAATTGCCAGCAACTTTTATATAAATGATTTTTTTATTAAGGTAGCGAACGCCTTTTGTTTCTACATATGGAAATTGTGTCCTTTTTGGTAAGGAAATCGTTATTAATGGAACGTTATTAACGAATATGGTTAATGTGAGTGGTAAATAGGCATAAATATTAGCACTTTTAGTTTACTTAACTACGTTTCTAGAAGTTCTGCAAAGGATTAAAGAAATTATTTCTTTAAATTGTTTTAAATATTTGTGGATATATCTTATGTTTGTCCCTTATGAATTGTAGAAATAATTGTATATGTTTAATATAGTTAAAGATAGCAACGAAAAATTGAAGCTTTTATCCTTAAGTTAATTATAAATAATTAATAAATATGTATATAATAAAAATTCCTTGCCTTCCTCATTCCGTTTTATTTGTCTTTATATTTAAATTCAACAAAGTTCGTTTTAATAGACACAACTTAAATATCTGCATGTTTTAAAACTTCGACTTCGTTGTATGTTGATTAAATTCTAGGAATTTCTGTTGAATTTGTACTAGACTTCCTGATAGATATTACGATTGAACAGCGTGCTGTAGCTTAAATTCTTTTCTGGGTTACTAAGCGGTTCTTGAACTCTCATTTGGCTATGGCTGAGCAACTTTTGGGCACAGTTCAAATGTCAATAGCACCCAAAACGGAAACTTAACGCAACAACAACCAACAAAATTGCAAACAAATGAGGCGGCTCCCTGTCGTTCGTATGGCACACGTGCCGGACAATATTTTATTTTAACTTTTTTTGTTAGTTTTGCCACAAGCCACAAGCCAAAACACAAATCACGTTTATTTCACATACAATAAAACAGAAATTCAAAAACCAAAAAACCATTTGACGCATGCATTTTGTAAGTAAATGTTTTTGTGTGTTTATTGCCGCTTCCTCAACATTTGCTTAGAGTTTTTTAAAAATACTTTTTTTCTCTCTTCGTTTTTTTGTGATTTATTTTGCGTCTGCACATCAGCGCCCAAAACTCAGACCTGACTTTGTTGAGCTGCATGCTTGACTAATTGCTGACAACATATCGCGGCAGTAAATTAGCCGCATCAAAACAACAAAACGGACAACTAAACACAAAAAATAAACAAAATTTATTTGTTGGATTTGCGACACGCCTTTGCGTTCGGGCAAAGGTTTAACAGTCGTTGTCTACCTTTTGCTTCCGGTTTCAGGGCGCCAGCTGCAGGTGAACATTTTTTTGTTGTGTTTGTCTTCTTCCTATTCGTTTATTTGTGGTCTTTGTGTTTGACATGTGTTTGGGTACTTGTTGTGTCATCTTCCTCGCATTGTGCAGATTTCATATGACTGTTAAATGGTGATTATCCAAAGTCTTAAGCACACACAGTAATAAAAATCTACAAGTGTTTAAGTACTTGCTAGTTTGTATAATTGTTTTTTTTTTTTTTTTAAAGTAAGATTTTGCGGAATAAGTTTACATGCTTCTGCCATAAATTATATTTTCTTAAAATTTATAGCTTATTTAAGTTTTGACATAAAAATTTAAAAAATTACTTTTTTTTGACAAACAAATAAAGTAGAACTAAATAACTTAAAATTCTTAACTAAGCAGATAAGTAGTTCAAAAGTAAAACATACTTCAAAAATATTAAAATGGAAGACGTCAATTGCTTAAGAGAAGTTGTTATGAAGTTATAGGAATACCTCATGTCCGGTAAGACCATCACAAAAGAACGTATTTAATTTATTAATAATTATTTAATTTGCAAACTTTTTCGATAAATTCAATCTTCTTAAGGGTTTGGACTGTTTTTTAAAGTAAAGATACATCGTTTTCTCCCCTTCTAAATTTTGCAATAATACATTTATTGTTTGTAAGCACAAAAGTGAAAATAGCTTAAAGCTTGATCTTTCCAATAACCTTTCCAAGTATAAGATAAGGCTTAAGCTTTCTAGGGCTTTAAGCTGACGTCAAGGTGTGGGCTCTTCAAGATATTGAACAAGAAATCACTTTTCATATGTATTTACAGTGCTGGCGACATGTGTTTTATGTCTACGATCCATTGTGGACATATTTTATGATTGATTTACGTCTCATTTGCATTCGCTTATGCTACGTGCCCTTTTTGTCCAAATAGTCGTATTTATGCGACATTTATGGTGGGAATATGCTTTGAATTTATAATGCGCCTTTGGTGCTCTGCGCCTGGCTGTGGCACACACACGTGGCGTGTGTGAATTATTTGGGCGTGTGTAATAAAAATTACTATTAAATAATAAAAATGTAATTTATGTCCATTTAATTAATAGTCGAAGGCAATGC